AAAGTCACCTGAACGAAATTTGCTGAACCATCGTTGACACTTACAAACGTTCAAAACATTTCCATAAACTTCTTTGATATTCTTTGTGGCTACAGAGGCACTGTTTCCCTTCTTGTATTCAAACTGCATTACATGCTGAATGTGTGTCTCATCCTGTGTCATCACTATAAGGGATTAGAGTATACTAAACTTTACATATTATATAGGCTACATTAACGTGATGTTTAGGCAGTTTTTTAAACTATTATACGTGATGTACGTTTTTTGGGGGGTGGTTTATTAAAGCGTTCCAAAATGCGACATTAATTTCTTGACGACCTAATAGTTACTAATGATCCAAAGTATGACCCTGTAGGGGTTACAGGAGGCTCCAATAGTGTTGTGAAAGAGTTGAAAAGATACATCAAATTTCTTTGAAGGTTTTTGTTATTAAATATTGATATATTAAAATAGAGTTACTTCATCATTTCAACCTCTTCATCGTCTAGTTGTGTTACACAGGAGAATTTCCTTTTCTATTCATTTTTACTTCCTCTCACATTTTATTAACTTTTATTATTTTATTTATTTTTCATGCAAAGTTACTCAAGATCCATCTGCATTTTACCACTTCTAATTTTGAACTGATAGACTAAATAAGGTCAACAACACCCACTAACAACTCTCGGCTAACCAAATAGAGGGATTTGATTGTAACTCTTATAATGCACTCTTGATTTTCAAAGCAAGGAGCACATTTATGTGGCAACAGGATGAAAATCATGAATCTCTATTCACGCTAACCATTAGGCTATGTCTAGCCCTTCTTTTAATTGGTATTCTATATGTTTTGTGATTGTTTTAAAATTATGGAATAATTTAAAAATAAATTGTGTGTGTATAACTTTATTATTGTACAACCTTTTTTTTAGAGTTGCATAATTATTCTCTGTTTATTACTAGTCATTTGAGAAAAGGGAGTTCCAGAATGAAAAAGTTTGGGTACCCCTGTTATAAAACATTTTTAGTTTTAGGTTGCTTACAAGTCAAACTGACAGCACACTTTGGTTGTGGTCCCATTTAAAACACAAAAATCAAATTATAACTGGAAACTAATTTAATTATGTTATTTAAAAACTAAGAATTAACTTACCTGATAAACATTATCACTAAGCCAAGCTTTGAGAGTGATAGATTTTTGTGTAGATTTTTTTCTGGAAGCTATCAGTACCACCAATGGCTGCTCTGATTTAGCACAAATTTTTCCACTCAAATGCCACAACCCCTCCTAAAAATAACCAACAACAAGATAATAGCAAGTATAAATTGATTTGTGAGAACTTTCCGAAATAAAATGAACACCACAGTTGTCAAATTTATGCCTTATGAAAAAAGTGACATGGCAAACTCATGAAACATATTCAAGGAAAAAAAGAAGACTTTTGAGGAGAAGGTAAGACCAATCTTTATAATTTTAAATTATACCTCACTTATCTGATTTCACAACATGTGCAATTATACTCGAACTTTGGGCAAAGAGGTTGCTAATAGAGTAGTTGTTAATCCTTTTCCAGAGCCAGATTAAACAAAAGGTAGAGTAGTTGTTAATCCTTTTCCAAAGCCAGATTAAACAAAAGGTAGAGTGAATCCATGATTATATTGGTTAGGTTTTAGTAACATTGCCAGATAATTTCTTTATTTGGAAACTAGTATTCTAAAAATATTATATTTGGTAAAAGATTGTTTTGATGAGTAAAGTTTTTAATGGAAAAAAAAAAGAGTTTTTGTGGAGAAGGGAGGATCCCTCATAACTAAAGTTGTGTATGGGCCTACCGTAGCCTTATTTAATCCAGTTCTGCCACCCTTTTGTTTAATCTGGCTCTGGAAAAGGATTAACTACTACTCTACCTTTTGTTTAATCTGGCTCTGGAAAAGGATTAACTACTACTCTACCTTTTGTTTAATCTGGCTCTGGAAAAGGATTAACTACTACTCTACCTTTTGTTTAATCTGGCTCTGGAAAAGGATTAACTACTACTCTACCTTTTGTTT